TTTTGAGGCCGGTTTGGGGGGGGGTGGCGGCCGCTGCGGGGCCGGGAGCGGGCCCCCGCGCGAGCTCCAGCTCCAGCTCCGGGCTTGTTTTACCGCAGCCGGCCAGACGCAATTCCGGATTTCAGTGCATCTGCTCAACCTCCTCTGTTTCTGATCCCGCCCGGTGAAGGAAGGAGGTTTTTCTTTTCTTTAAAACCCGCGTGTCCGCGGGGTATCAGCAGAGCCCCTTCGCGGAGCTGCTCTGAGGCAGAGGATGGGCAAAGGCTGTCGGATGAGCTCGGCCACGAGGCTCTTGCTGATGCGGGACTGGCAGCCAGAGGGGTGGATTCCTGCACCTGCAGAAAGGAGGAGGGAAGGGAAAGGATGAAAGGAGAAGAACAGAGGGGCAAACCTCCTCAAAAAAAAAAAAAAACATTGCAAAGAGCAAAGAGCGCTTGATTTTTGGCTTGCAAATCCTTCAGCTTTGCTCCTTCCCTCTGGTCCGAGCTGCAGGTCCCGTCGTTGCTGTTCTGGTCTCCTGGGGGGCCGAGAGCGTTTGCACGGCGTCACGGGGGCCCTGCGTGTGCTGAACCTGCCTGGGGCTCTGCCCCTCGTTAGGCTTAATGATGCCGTGCAAGGAGCACGCATGCGTGCATGTGTGCGTGCGTGTGCATGGCAGCTGGGTGGGTTAATTCGGGCATTGCTTCACTTCATTGCAAATAGCCCCCCGGGCCGTTGCACAGCCGCCCTCCCGCGCGATTGCTTCGGCCAGGCCGCTTTGCAACGCGCCCCGGTGCAGCGCGTTCCCCCACGGCAGCTCCCGCGAACAAGCAGCTGGGCCTTCAGCACCGCTCCCTGGGCCGCAGTTATTGCAAGCGCCTTTTGGCGTGCTGGAGCGCGTCGTGACTCTGATAGGGTTGGACGCAGGCAGGAGCCTGGGGCAGCCTGGGACCCGGCCGTGCACAGGCGCTAGCTCAGCCAACTAACGCGCTTTTCAGCTTTGCCTCGCTGTACCGAGTAGCTCAAGCTCTTGACATATTACTATTACGGAAGAGCCCGCTCCAGCGG